ACTAGAGGTGGGAATTCAGCCGTTGATGTTCCAGAAGCAGAAATCTTTGTCCCTGAAGGTGATCCTGTTTTTCCAGTAGGTTTTTCACGCCACCAAGCTCTCATCAGGGGGGATAACCCAGATGATCTTAAGTTGCCTGAGTATGCCTTAAAGGATGTGCCCTTCCCCAAGGAGGGCGGAATAGCCTCACCCTCTACACCAGGTCTCAAGAGTCGTTCTGTTTATATAACCGTAGACCGTATCCTTAAGTGGAAAGAGACCCCTGGTTGCAAAGGCTGCACTGGCCATTCGCGCGTGCACACCGATGAGTGCAGAGCCCGCTTCTCAATGTTGGTTGAAAAAGAAAAAGAAGCTGAAAAGGAAAAGAAAGCTCCACCTCCCGAAAGTGAGACAGAAGCGGAAGACAAGGATGATGAAGCTCATGGCATCATCTTCCGGGGGGAAGACGACTCAGATCCGATACCCTCTCACCTCTCCGCAGAGGACAGAGCACTGGTTGAGGAAATCTTCGTAAGAGGTGAGGTACCAGGGTCGTCCGAACCCAGCGCTCCAGCCGAGCCTGCTGTTTCCGTTTCTGGTGTAGCTATTCTTCCCCAAGTTGCCAGTCGATGTTCCGACCTATGTCAAAAATCGCTGCCTGTTTTTGGTTGCCCCGCTGTAGGTAAGCCAACTAACCGCGATAATCGTAGGAGCCGGAAAGCTGCCAAGAAAGCTTCCAGACCCAATGCCAAGTCAACCATGTTTGAGTTTGCTTGTTCTGAGGACTCCCAGATGGGTTTTACTCACCAAGAATATGGCATTAATCATGTTAGACTTTGTAAGGATAGGATAGACCTGGGAGATGAGTCACAATGTGAGCAACTAGACTATCAGATAGATGAAGCCGCTAAGGTTGCACCTCCACATATGTGGGCCTCTATCCCTTGCACATCCGGATCCCCTTGGCAGTACATCAATAGGAAGAAGGGTGGTGCCGCATTCATTAGGAAACTTGCCCACCAAGTCAAAGAGTCCAAACGGTTGTTTAAGAGTTTTTCCAAACGCGCTGAAAGGGTTCTCAATCATGGTGGTACTGTAACGTTTGAATGGCCAAGACCTTGCTCTGGCTGGAAAAGGCCTGACGTTGTAGCATTCTTTGAGAAGCATCCCCAGTTTATGACCGTTGGTTTTGAAGGGTGCACCGTAGGTTTAACCGACAGAAATGGTTTCCCCATCAAAAAGCCATGGAAACTCAAGACCACTTCTTCCCGAATTGTAGAGGCGTTTCAAGATATGCGGTGTCGATGCCAGCAACCTCATTCCAGATGTGAGGGAGCTGAGACCACTCGCTCCGCAATGTATCCGCCCCAAATGACTAATCTAATTGCGCAAGCTTTGTATCCCTCAAAATGTGCCCAGCAGCCCGTTCCTGCTATGCCTTGCCGACCGGCAACCAGCGAGCCTCAACCCCATAGGGAAATTGAGCAGCACCTTAAGCACGTATCCCCATTAGCTGGTTTTGAAGATTTAGCCCTAACTGTTGAATCAGACCCCACCGCTAATAGGTTGGTTACAGAACTTCTTGATCATGAACAATTGATCGCGCAAGCCCTCCACCTGGAGGACCCAAAGGCGCTAACGCCTGAGATCAAAGCAATGGTCACTAAGCTCTTATCCCGTGCAGAGATGCTGTCCAATCCCAAGGCCCTCGAGGCAATCCGCGCCGAAGCCGATGGTTTGGTTAAGGCTGGTACCTGGGACCTTAGCTCGGTCCGCGAAAAGGAAGATGTGCGCAGAGAAGCTAAGGCTTCAGGTGTGTCAGTACACTTTGGTCAGCTCATGACCATCGCGTCCATTAAATTCCACGAGCTCGCGGAACACCTTCACAAAATGAAGGGGCGCATTGTGTACAGAGGAGACTGCGCAAAGGACGAACATGGTGCAGCCGCGGTTTACCAAGAACTCGGCGCAAACCCCACCTCCGTCCAAGGGTTAAACGCCTGCTTGGCGTACGGGTCGCTGCCGGGTAACCGCGCGACGGCTGCAGATGCAGTCAAAGCTTACGTCCAAGCGCTGTTATCTTCCAAATACAAAACCTGGATTGAGCTTCCCCCGGAGCTCCGCCCTAAGTATTGGAAGCAACAGTTTGTTAAGCCCGTAGTCCTCTTAATTAAAGCCTTATACGGTCATCCTGATGCCGGAGGCCTGTGGGAACAACACTTGAAAGTCATCATCAAGAACCTTGGTGGACAGGAAGTTCCAGAATACCCAGGAAACTTTTTCTTCCCAGATACAAAGTTACTTCTGTCAACTTATGTAGACGATTTAACTCTAGCTGGCCCCGCCGACCAGCATGATGCATTCTGGAGTAAGTTAACTTCTGTGGTAGACATTGAACCCCCAGAGCCCATCTATAGGATTCTTGGACGCAACCATGTTGTTACCCCACTATCCAAGACCGAAGGTCATGAAAAATGTGCAGCCTTCCAAGCCCAAGATGGCATGGTTTTTGATATGGCAGACTACGCTCAGCAGACCGTAGATTTGTATAAATCAATAACTGGTGTCACCAAACTCAAGCATGCTGCCACGCCATTTCCACCTGAGGGATCCATCACCATTGAAGATGATGAAACTAAAGGGGAACTAGCTCCAAATGCATGTAAGATTTTGATGAAAGCCCTTTGGTTAGGTAGACTTGCACGTCCCGACATCATCAAGCCTATCAATGATCTGGCCACAAAGGTCCAGTCGTGGTCTAAGGGGGATGATAAGAAGGTCCTAAGATTAATCCAGTACATAGCCTCAACCCCACACTATAGGTTAGTAGGTACCATTCAGGACAAACCTGAAGACCTAGAGCTCAGACTGTTTGTCGATGCCGACTTCGCCGGCGACAGATCAACTGCACGCTCAACCTCTGGTGGCTTTTTGGTTTTAACTGGCCCTAGTTCCTTCTTCCCACTTGCATGGATTAGCAAGCGCCAAACATCCACTTCTAGATCGACCACGGAAAGCGAGGTTGTTAGTTTAGCCCATTCGCTTTATCAAGAAGGCTTGCCTGCCTTACAGTTATGGGAGCTGTTGCTTGCACGCTCCGTAACCCTTAAGGTCCACGAAGATAATCAAGCAACAATCCTAGTTGTGAAGAAAGGATATAGTCCCAAGCTTCGCCATATAACTAGAACACACAAAGTTAATTTGTCTTGCCTGTCTGAAGTCTTCAGAGATGACTCTGCCGAGATAGAGTACACTCACACCGATGATCAGGCGGCAGACATATTCACCAAGGCATTGCCTCCACACAAGTGGGCAGCAGCACTAATCCTTTTAGGAATCCGTACTGACCTCCCCTTAGACCTTAAATCCAAAGCATAGGTCGCTGTGAACGTCCGTTCACGCGACAGTAGGTGCCTAGGATGCTGCCAATGCGCAGTGCGTGTGGAACAGGCGAGGGGGGAGTTGAAATATATCGACCCCTGAGCCCCACCATGTATAGCATGTGCAGGTAGGTCTAGTGTAGGTATGCCTCAGCTATGAGTCCAAACTGGTTTCTAAGTATTTACACCCGAATGTAGAAACCTTAGTGCACACTCCACCTAGAAGCGTTAGGTAGATGTTGTAGCCTTAGTTAGAAGTAGGTAACCTCCGTATCCCAACAACTACCGGGGTATGTAGTAGGTTGCGCTACTGATGCTTTGGCTCAAGTGCCTGGTTAGAAAAGGCGCTTGTTTCGTTGATGCAGGGTTCGGCGGTTTGGTTTCCCCTTTTCTTTTGGGTTTCCGTTCCGACCCCCTGTTTGTCTATAATATATTATATATTATATATATATATTGTATATTCATTAAATATTCTACATTATATATTGTATATTATATATTATATATTCTACATTATACGTTATATATATTATATATTGTATACTATACATTCTACATTATATACTATATATTGTATATTATATATTATATATTCTACATTATATATTATGTATTGTATATTATACATTCTACATTATATATTGTATCTTGTATATTATATATTCTACATTATATATTCTACATTATATATTCTACATTATATATTCTACATTATATATTGTATGTTATACATTCTACATTATATGTTGTATATTGTATATTATATATTCTACATTATGTATTCTACATTATATATTATACATTGTATATCATACATTCTACATTATATATTGTATATTGTATATTATATATTCTACTACATTATATTTTCTATATTATATTTTATACATTATATATTATATATTGTATGTTATACATTCTACATTATATATTGTATCTTGTATATTGTATATTCTACATTATATATTCTACATTATATATTATATATTACATATATATTATATATATATTATATCAAGCATGTCCTGGAGTTTCGCATATCGCGTCTTGTGGATTTCACATCAATATTCTCCACACCTCTAGGTGGGCCCAATCGAAACGACAAGGAAATAGGAGAGATTGCTCATTTGGCGAAACTATAGCAATCATTAACAACATGATTATCAAATGGAATATGCCGTGGTAATCATATGATGGAAACATGATTAACAACTATAGTTCTTCCAAATTCCTTGCGACTGTGTAGTTCATTGTGTAGATTCGGCTTGCCTGTTGATGCATATTGGGCTGATTCATCTTTGGCCGACTTGAAATTGATAGACTCCTTTCGTTCGCGTGCCCAATCTGTTGACATGCCAAGGGAACTCAGGGGAGTTGAGACCATGCACAAAATTGCTTACCTCCTGTAAAGTAACATAGATGAATGTTAAAACCCACCATTTGTAGATCGTGTTTCTAGGGAAACCATGGGCTTTCCACATCTTTGTTTACCCCAGGGCAAATTGTAAAAAACACCGGTCCAGGTCCAGGTGCTCCGCGCTGGCTAATTTCCTCATTTTCGGACAGCCATTTCCATGATTCATGATATTCATGGGCCTGCCATCTGCATTTTTTGGATGACCTGCCCATTGTTGGCTCGAGGCCCTTCCACCTTGCCGTCCTGGAGCTATAAGATGGTCACCACCACGCGCATCAGTCGCACCAGTACGGGCACCAGCACCTTCCACACTGTCACCTCAGTGACGGCGACGTCACAGACCTTCACCAGCACCTTGACGACTTGGACATCTACCAGCGTCACAGATGCTTGCTGGGAAAAAACACAACATGGGTGGATCATGGTGTAACATGGGTGGATCTTTCTGTTGATTTTTTGACGGGTTCATGGAGTCCATGGGCTTTAATAGATGTTATGTAATGTTATGTATAAAGTTTTTTTGGGGGGATGAAGATCCCTCAAGGTGCTTGCAGGGCGACTTTGTTTGGCGGCTTTCAAGATGTGTATAGACTCATGTACAGTACTGTAGCTGGCAGTTCTCAGTTATTAGTTTGGGGTTGCTAAATGACCAAAGGGGTTAGGTGACCTCAAACCAGTGGTTTTGACCTTTTCTGAAGGTACACTTTGATTTCTTGCTATCCGATATCGATGCTGTTTTGCAGCCTCCACGATTCCAAGGAAACCTCCACCAGCCTGAACGAGGTGACGCTGTCACAAGCCTTGGATCCTGATTGGATGGGTTCCAAGGGGCCCCACAAAGTTTCGATGAATTGCACAGATGGAAAACCGAAGACTATGGTCCCCAAGATGATTTTGATCTTGAATTTGGCCAGAACAGAACGGGTAATCTGATCTTTCACTGACAGATTCAGTTCACTTACAGCTGCCAGATGCCGCAATTTTGCAGCCTGGCCTGGTAACCCATGGCCAAGAGAAATGCTCGAGGGAATTCAGCAACACAGCCCCGTTTTCCTTTCAGCTGGTCCTGGCTGAGAGATTTACTACAGAAACAGGGGTCAGTAAAGCCTTTTCATTTTCAGGACCCCCCATTGGATGAAAGCATCTTGCACTACTTGGCGGTTCCACTTAGAAGTAAACATATAACCACAGTATACCACAGTTATAGGGGTTATATCCCAACTTACGGTGATGACCAGGAGAATAATCATGTTATACCCATAAATAATCCCGACTGCACCCATGCTTGGATCATCCATACCAAGCTCCCGTTGGCAGACTGCAGAAGAAGGCGCGCAACGCCTGAGGAGCGGCCTTTTGGATCAGGGGCGTGGTGGCTAGTGGTGCCTTCCAACAGAGCAACATTCACTGGCTTGATTTGAGGGAACACATTGGAAAACCTACGGTAGACCATGGTTCTTCCGATCAAAAATGAGGAGTTTCCCATACATTTTCCATACATTTTCCCTATAGTCAAACAACTTCTGGGAAACATGGGTGGCATGAATCTTGTCAGCCGAGAAAATCTTCTGGCGCTCTCTATTGTGATGAATTGAAGGCCGCCCAACTGAGAGCTCCCACCACTGTGTCAGGAGTCAAGCAGGCAGAGGGAAAGGGGTGGGGAAGGTCAGGTAGATCTGGAAGGTTGATGATGGGGATGCTAGGAACTAGGATGTCTTGAGATTCTCATCCCTGTTTGGGTCTGAAAATGGGGTATACCATGGTATACTGGTACCCCTAAATGGCCATCGGAATAGGAACTCCTGATGGACGATGATTTTCAGTGGGATTTGGGGGTATTTTCAGACAGTCTCTGGTGCTGGTCCTGCAAGGCTGGCGCGCACTCCCTGACTCGGCTGAGGCCGGCATGGGGTGAAATTGAAGACCTAGGAAACCGGCGGGGGCACAAATATCACCAATCTGGTTGGTGGATAAACCACTATTTCAACACTTTCAACCATGTTTGGGACGATAATGCCCAATGGGGTGCCAGAAATCAGTGCCATCTCCAGGAGGACTTCAATGATTTTCTCGGAGCGAATTTCCCCCACGTTCCTATTGGTGAAAGATCCGCAATTTTGTGACATACCCGGTTTAATCCCTCCATGGACAATCACCTTGTAAATGACTTATATACCTGTTGAAGATGGCGATTTTCCACTGCCAGATTGGAGGACACTAGATGACCAGAGGGTACCCGATCTTTCAGTCACCAGTGGTCGCCACCACACCTCCCAAGTCAAGAGGATATGATGTTGTCGCCACAACAGGACTGAAGTAGTTGTCGCTTAGTTGTCGCTCTGATGTAGCAAATTTCCCCATGGTCCCCTGGATCTTGGAGAATTTGACATTTTTCATCAGCAGCAAATTGGCCAGGCCTTCTACCCCATTGCTGGCTGCGGCTTGATTGTGGTCCCTTGTCAGATTTTATGGGCTGTAGTTCATTGTAGTTCCTCCCCAAATGATTTCAAACATAAGAGAGTTGCCGGTCATTGGACACTGCAAACGCCGCCTGACGACCTTATGGATACTACAAGTTCTCATGGAGCAAATCGTCTTGCTGGATGGTCCGCTCCATTATGTCATGACATGGAGTGGCCTGGATGACTCAAAATGAATCAGCCCGATCAGCCCCAAATGGATGGTTAGTGGCCTGGTTTGAAACTAAAACATGACAAATTTCCGTGGCTCCATCGGTACCCATGTGGCTTTGAGTTTGTATGTTTATTTTTCAGAGGCAGCCATATATAATTATTATAATTTCAGGTTGGATATTCCGATTCATATCCCAAGAAACCATCATTTTTCATTGTTCAGTCACCAGTCTTATTCAACCAACATTCATAGTGGTGAAATCACCATTTTTCCATGGTTAAACCATGTTAAAGCACCATTTTTCCATAGGTTTTGCGGTGCTTCGGTGCCCAGGTGGGCCTACTGGCTGTTTGCATCTGCGCTTCTTCGGATCGTGGACAGGAAACCAGGTGCCAGGGCGCCAGGGTGGCGCCATGTAGCGTTAAACAAGGATACATACTGTACAAGTATAATACAAATATAATACAATATATTATATTTTAATATAATATAGTATAATATAATATGATATAATCTAATATAATACAATAGTATAGTATAATAAAATATAGTATAGCATAATATAATATAATATAATATAGTATAGTATAATATAGTATAATATGATATAGTACAATATAATATAATATAATATAGTATAATATAATATAATATAACGATTAATATAATGATTAATATAATATAATATAACGATTAATATAATGATTAATTTAATGCAATATAACGATTAATATAATGATTAATATAATTAGGATATCCTCCACTGATTCACTGGAATCTACAAAGCTCCTCAAGCTCGGCAAGCTGCGGCCAGGAGAGATCCGCTGCTGCAAGACGAAGCGCAGGAGTAAGACATCCACGAAGCGAAGCGACGCTGGTAACAGGTGAAGATGGTGATTGAATGGGATATAACGGGGATATACATATATATATATACACATAGCTATATATGTATCTTTGTAGTTTTCCATTCTAGGAAGCAAACCTTCTAGATTCCATGTCTGCATTGTAGTATGGCATGCAATATCCAAGATTCACCATGATGAGATGGCGCCTACTTTTGGCTGACCACCCACCACCCACCACCTACCACCCACCACCGGCACCAGCGTCAGCACCAGCATCAACATCAGAATATTAGCAACACTAGTAGCAGCCGCAGATGGAGGAGGAGTAGTAGCAGTAGTAGTAGCAGTAGTAGTAGTAGTAGCAGTAGAAGGAGCAGTAGAAGTAGCAGTAGAAGCAGAAGTAAAACCAAAAGTAGTGAGTAGGAGTAGTAGGAGTAGTAGGAGTAGTAGGAGTAGTAGGAGTAGTAGGAGTAGGAGTAGGTAGTAGTAGTAGTAGTAGGAGTAGGAGTAGTAGGAGTAGTAGGAGTAGTAGGAGTAGTAGGAGTAGTAGGAGTAGTAGGAGTAGTAGGAGTAGTAGGAGTAGTAGGAGTAGTAGGAGTAGTAGGAGTAGTAGGAGTAATACCAGTAGTACTTAGTAGTACTTAGTAGTACTTAGTAGTACTTAGTAGTACTTAGTAGTACTTAGTAGTACTTAGTAGTACTTAGTAGTAGTACTGGTAGTACTAGTAGTACCAGTAGTACTAGTAGTACCAGTAGTACTAGTAGTACTAGTAGTACTAGTAGTACTAGTAGTACTAGTAGTACTAGTAGTACTAGTAGTACTAGTAGTACTAGTAGTACTAGTAGTACTAGTAGTACTAGTAGTACTAGTAGTACTACTAGTACTAGTAGTACTAGTAGTACTAGTAGTACTACTAAGTACCAGTAGTACTAGTAGTACTAGTAGTACTAGTAGTACTAGTAGTACTAGTAGTACTACTAAGTACTAGTAGTCCTAGTAGTGTTAGTAGTAGTAGTAGTAGTTGTAGTAGTAGTAGTAATAATAGTAGCAGTACTAGTAATACTAATAGTACCAGTAGTACTAGTAGTACTAGAAGTAGTAGCAGCAGCAGTATTGGGGTTATGAATTAATAACCATATCAAATACATAAATATGATATAAGTATAGATATAAATAGACAGATGCAAATTCATGTGGATAAGTGTAAATCAATGCAAATAAATATACATAAATTTGAATCAGTTATACATATGTATATTTAAATAAATAAATAAAAAAATATATATATATACATAGACATGAAACAAAAAAAATCAGGCAAAACGATTCACATGGAACTATACACAACCAAACATGTTTGACCTTTCCAGTCTCTATATATCAACCTCCACAGGCATTTCATGCACCCCCTTTGGGTTATTTTCATGGAGACACTCTTGGTCTCTTGGGGTTCACCAAGGTAGTTATGAGGGTTTTGAACCGTAGCCATAAGCTACACAATCAAATGTTTAATGAACAAGCAAAATCATTGGATATGACCAATGATAACTCACATTGATCGGTGATGTGGACACTTCTACGCAGCTCCAAACACAATACCGTGGAAGGCCAGCGATCTCCAGATGTTGGTTATCTTCTTCAGCACCTGACATGGCAACCAGAACTGGCCATGGCTCTGATGTACACCAGAGCAGTCGTTCATCAATCCGTCTTTCATGTTTAGATCTTGGTGGTGTTGCCAGGGTGTCACTTCACTTCTGGAATCCAACTGCGGATTTTCTGGAGCCCGAGGCTATCTCGCTTAGTGCTGGGAGGGCAGTGTACTTCCCAATTGAGGTCTCGAGTGGCATGAACCCCATTCAAATCCCTCGAAAAGAGTAGTTAGGTTACATTGGTTGTTTTCCTTCCCATTTTGTTAAAAGACACACTATGGTGACTATGGTATACCATTCACTGCAATTCTTGGCCGTTTCATGGTTTTCATGCAACCCGAACATGGCACCTATGACCACCAAAAACCAAGAAACAGCACTTGGCTTCAGCCTGCAGATGTGAGCTTCCAGTCATGCAGGCAAAATTGCCGCACGGCTCACTCCTGATCGCTTGGTTGAAAAAAACGTGTGCCGACTGCAACATGATTAGTGATTGAGCTAGAAGGGGGAATCAACATCCGCAGAACCAATGTGGCAAGCCCGACAACAAACTATTGCTGGTTATTGTAAACCACCCCCAGGGATTGGGCTGCTAACAGCACGATACGAGAAGCACATTCATTGACTGAGGGTTGGAAGAGATGATTGGGGTATTTCATGCTCTTATTTTTCTTGATTGACCCCTCCCAATTGAATTTTCTGCCTCAAAGAACATCCACTTCAAGTGATATCCAAGTCCTTTTGGATCGTTGGTTTGTAGCAGTCGTTACTAGCTGTGCGATTCGGAAGATGCAAAGTAGATTGGATTTGAGGTCTGCCAAGCGACTTGCAAATCCCTGGAATAGCCGAACTGTACCCCAAAATAGCTGCTTTCTCTGGATGTTAATTTCTCAAAGTATTGCTACATTATCTGGTTGGTGGTGACTGGAACCATGGAATTTGATTAGACTTTCCATTCAGTTGGGAATGTCATCATCCCAACTGTTACTCACTCCATCATTTTTCAGAGGGGTAGGTGAACCACCAATGAGTTATGGTACCTGTTTGGTAGGTTTTGACCCAGCAGTTGCCCAGTTCCACATCGGGTGTTTTTTCTGGTGTCCCCTGGTGTCCCATCTGTGGCAGGTGCTTTCGCCGGGTGATCTGGTCCTGATTCAAGCACATCTTCAACCAAGGCCGTGGTCATTCCATCACCGTCTGAGCACATAAAGTGACATGATCACTATCATCATAGTATATAATGAATATATAATCTGGTTGGTGGTTTCACATTTTTTCTTTCCATAATATATGGGATAATCCTTCCCATTGACGAACTCATATTTTTTCAAGATGGTTATTGCACCACCAACCAGATAATGTATAAAACCAATATTGGTTTACTATTATATAATACATCTGATACCATATCATCATGTAATGAAAAGACTACACAACACAAAATATATAACATATAACATATGACCTACGAGACATAATATTATTAATATACAGTCTGTGATACGATACATGGTATAGTAGAAATTATATAATAGACATTATAAGATTTTATGTACGATATATATATATATATAGTTTTTTTTTAAATACATGATCTATAGCCTGTGATATATAGTATGTAATATACAATAGATACTATTTGACCTACAATATATACTACATAATGCATAATGTATAATGTATAATCGAACATATATGATGTCTAACATATAAGGCATACATAACACACGACATAGAATACAGAAAAATAAGCAATGATGGCACTGTTTTCTGTACTACTGACTTACCTACTACTGCTACTACTGCTACTGCTACTACTACTACTACTACTACTACTACTGCTACTGCTACTACTGCTACTACTGCTACTACTGCTACTACTGCTACTACTGCTACTACTGCTACTGCTACTGCTACTGCTACTGCTACTAGTACTGCTACTACTGCTACTACTGCTACTGCTGCTACTGCTGCTACTACTGCTACTACTGCTACTACTGCTACTACTGTACTGCTACGACGACGACTACTACTACTACTACTACTCCTACTACTCCTACTACTCCTACTACTCCTACTACTCCTACTGCTGCTGCTGCTACTACTACTAATGATAATAATAATAGTGATAATAGCAATAATAGCAATAGTAAAAACAGTAATAGTAATAATTAATCAAGTTCAGAAGAATACTCAATCATTGTCATTCTTGTTTTTTCCGTGTGGTGAGAAAACATCTCCACCACTGGCGATCGCTTGAAATCATTCAGCTCCAAGCTCTCTGAATTTCTCCGCAGACGATTTTGTTTACTTAAACAACGCCGCGTGAATCGCGACGACGACCGTAGATCGTCCATTTTCAATCCGCTATGGGATACGCGCTACGAAACCTGATTTTGGCAATCGGCCTTCATCTGGTACGCAGTGAAGGCGCGGAGAGTTTTTGTTTTGGGAAGTCTCATGAGTCGTCACCATGTGCTTTGGGGTTTCCAGAAATGGACACCCCAATAGCTGGATGGTTTATAATAGAAAATCCCATTAAAATGGATGATTTAGGGGTACCCCCATTTCTGGAAATGCCCTTTATCATCCTTTATCTTGGACAGTTTGTTCGTCCATTTGCTGATGTGTCATATCCAGGTCTGACCACGCGGATATCATTTGGGTGATTTTACATTTTCCCTCGTCTTTAGTGACTCATATTTTTCAAAGACTTGCAACCACAACAGTCAGATTGTGAATCCATTGAAGAATCAGCAGCTGACTTCATCTAGTGTTGTTTATTGGCACAGGGTTTCTCTGAAATGAGGCCATGATTGGATATATTTTGGGTTCCAAGATTTATGGGATACTCCACGGTCACAAGCTGGATCAATTACAGTCAACTCCTTGGGAAGAATTGGCTGCAAACCGTTCGATAGATGGAAAATCCGTGGGGAACAGCATCATTTGGTGGGTTCTCCCAAATATTTTTCCGTTTCCATTCGTAACACAGGACGATGACCCCAGTTGTGACTTTCTGATTCGTCCTTGGTTGCTCAACCAGCAGTCTTCTAATTCATGTGATGAAACGTTGTCTCACATTTTGGAACCCCAAATTTCCATACTTGATCATCATTTTCCCAATTGGTTATGTATCTATAATCACACTAGTTATATACACATATATTATCCAAATTACATATCCCCCATTATATCCGCTGTAGTATTTAATTCTTCATCACTCTTTTAGATTCGGATTTCGGATTGAACTTTTCTATCTTTTTGTTTTTGTTTTTCAACCCGAACCGGCCTTTATTCATGGCTGCGAGGCACTTGCGACGGTTGCGAGGATGGTAGCGTCCTGTTGCAGAAGGGACCTGGTAAGGCGAATTGGTGGGATGGTGGAGCCATTTTTTAAATGGGAACTTCAAGAAACAAACTCTCTGGTAATTTAACATAGCTATTGAACAGTGAACATGGCCATAGATGCCATAGAAATAGTGGTTATTTTCCCATTAATAGCATGGTGATTTTCCAAAGTTATGTAAACGTTTACCAGAGGGTAGTGGTAACAATGGAATATGATGGGGATCACGATGGATCTCTGAAACCAATGAAGCCTTGACAGCGTTTCGGGTTGCAGCCCGCCATCCTTGTTGCCAGGCAGAAGAGGAGAGTCTGGTAGCTGCTGTCTATGATGAAGATCCTGATGAAACCTTGGAGGGCTACAAGTTCGAGGCATACCTGGGCCCCAGGGAGTCTTGAAGACCAGGAATGAATGGGAAGGTAAGCACAAGGCCCAGTTACAAGTGGTTTTTTTTCAACCCGACTGAGTTGCGCACCATAAGTCCTAGTTAGCCTACTTGTAAGCCAACTTATCGGGCACCTGCAAAGAATGGGGACTCCCTGTCGACGGATTGGGATGGTCTCCATGCCATTTCTGGTGGATCAGGATGGAATCTGGATGATTCACATCTCCATGAACCAATCGTATTTTTTTTTTCGATTTCTATCTTGTTTTGCTAGAGCACCGAAAATCAGCCTTGAATGCAGCGATTGCGAAAAATAGAAAAAAAAGAGTGCATGCGCTACTGGGTCAACCGCCCAGCAGATTTCATTCCTGGAAACTAGGCACTCCCGGCACTCCCCATTGTTTCGAACAACGTTAGGATGCAAAGTTCAAGGATGGCCCACGACAGGACTACGTGAAGGAGTTTGGAAAGACGTACGCGGGCGAGGACTGGGCGGATTTGGGTTTCTTCGGAACTGTGCTGTTGTGATTAGCCGACCATAAAACACACATTGGGGATTTGGGATTCAGGAACAAGCCGTTTATGAAACGTGTCAGACATGTCTGGTTTGAAAAAATAGAGCCTCAGAAAAATATGACCCACGTGGGATTTAGACGAAACATGACGAAACGCTTTTGAATAACGAGAACACAAGTGGTATCCAAGAGTAAACAACTTGGAACAATACAACATGTGGGATTGAACATTATTGAACAACAAAAACGCATCTGGGATTCAGAAGAAACACTAGTATTAATTACCACACATATGGGTTGAAAGAACAAACCCCTTTAAACGAGAACACGCACAACACATGGGATTCACATGAAAAGACCATTGAAAAAACAATACATATGAGAGTTGCGGGAAACAAGGACACACGTAAAAGGCACTACAATGCATGTCATATTTGAAAGAACCGACCCTGGAACAACAACAAGAATATGTAAGGTTTTAAAGAACACGCCATTGAAGAGAACAAGGCACTTCTGATCTGAAACAAACCAAACATGGGAAAATCAATACATTTGAACATCAGTCAGATGTGGGGGCTAAGGTTCTCGTACCCACGTGTTCCCAGCAGGGACCCGCACAATTCATCAAAACTCGATGTCTTTATACCGACAATCCAAAGAATAGCATGTATATATATAATATATATATATACATACATACATACATACATACATACATACATACATACATACATACATACATACATACATACATACATACATACATACATACATTATTATATATGTATAGGTGTATACACATATATGTATATATGTATATTAAGTGGTATTAGTTCTTTGGGCTGCGTGATTGAAGCATTTTTGGTTCCCAAGAACCGGGTAAAACAACTGTCCGGTGCGGAGGATCAGGAGTGAATCCTGATGAAGTAAGAGGTCCATTTCCATGTTTTGACATTTCTCTGGTGTGAAAGTGGGGTTCAACATGGTTCAACTACCCTTGTCAGTTGGGAATAGTTTCATCAACTAGGGGAAGTTAGAGCACGCGTTTTTGTTTGGCGAGATTGTTTGTAGACTACTAGACTACCCTTGTCATTCTTTGTCCAACATTTGCATTGGCGCCATTTTCGTGGCCCAGGAATATACGAAGCACAAGAAGATCTTCGATGCACAGTACAAGATGGTCTCCCCGAGTCGCAACACACATGATTCGCTTTTTTATCGGGACAGCCTCGCAAAGAGGGGATACCCCTTCAAGGTCACCAAACAAGAACCATGGCTGGACCATGGCATCTCAATTTTTTGGATTTGACCGAATTTTGACCTTGGGGATTGAAAGAAGCAGGGTACACGGCGATCCTGGGGATCAGGCGACAACATGAAGCCTCTACAACTTCTGTCAGCCATGGCCACCAAATCATTGGATGAGACAGCCATTGACAGTTCAATGGCCGTAAAATAGATGAAATCCGAACACAAAATCCAGAACCAGCCCAAGAATTCACTACATTCCATTACATTGTTCATAAGCAACGGCCTTTTCCATTCTTTGACTTGTTTGTTTCCCCTGAATTGGTCCCCTTGAACTGGGAACGGCCAGGGACTAGTTTCACTTGTCTTGGTGGTTTCACCAAAAGTCAACTGGGGGCATCTTGAAGAGTAACTGGGGAAACCAATCATAGTTATTAAGCTGGGTTCCATCTAATTGTTCCTTTGCAGTCGATATTTGGTAGCTAAAACATGCGAAAACAGTCATGTCTTGTAGCTGACACAGCAATTTTCCAAACACCCTGGGGTCCCACATTTCCATCCCCTTGAAGCTCGATTTTCTGGAGAGGTGAAGGAACACAATGCGAAAAAGAGTACCTTCCAGATGGGTATCAATGTCCCTTGGTGTCATGGCCTGCCCGGGCTGGCGATTTTTGGATCACCAACTGTCATCATTTTTTCGCCATTTTGAGGCTGAAAATTCACAAAAGTCTTTTGGGTTATCCCATCCCACAAATCTGAGATTCCACCAAATGGATCCAAATGGGCCAAGGTTGATTGGATCCCATACTGAACCAGCGTGTCTTGGGGGTGTTGTATCAACTCTTTTCGTTCCAAGAGGTACTATCATGATATCATGATTGCCGATTCGCCAGAAGAAGCAGAGTGTGAACTAAGGGATCACATCACATTTTCCACGGCGTGAGACATCACCTGTATTTTCAAAACCAATTTAAGAGGCATTTTTGAAGGTCAGACAGTAATACCAATACCTGGTCGGTACCAGGCCCACTTGTTGAGATGGACCCATGAATGGCTTACATGGGGATCACCAACACCTATCAATGCGGGAAACGGAAACCCTGGCTGCCATAAACCTATACCTTTTGGGGATAGTCTATCATCCATAAAAATGGTGATGATTTGGGGATGGTTGATGGCATTGGGTTTACCAAATCATACCAGATTTTACCAGGTCATACCAGGGTTTTGACCCATCCCCATATTCCCACCATGTACTGTACTGCTGTAGTCCCCAACGTTGCTAGCCACGTGGCTGCGATAGGAATACACCGACTGGACCCCGGAGGAACTCAAGAGTCTCCGCGGGTTGAGGCCTGGGGGAGACTACCCAAATGGGAAATCACCTGGGAAAATCGAAAACTGATTTCAACTAGAGCTGGGAGCAAGTCCTCCTGCAGCAGTTGTGCATCCAACACCAAGCCTAGGCCATTTTCCAATAGTGTATGCATGTGATGTTCTTTTATTCTTTGTTGGCATACCCACAGAGCGACTCATTTTTCTAGCCATGTCCTATCTAGCCCGCTGAACTGATCTACGGAGAACACATGCAATCACAAGAGTTTTTCAACAACGAAAAAGAATACCAATCCGTTATTGCTCCCCCACCCCCCACCCCGCAGCAACCGAACAGAGCGCCGAACATCCGACAACGTGGCAGCCTGGTACATACATGCAACACCGTGCAGGTCCACGCCTAGAAAGATACATCAAAAGCAACAAACAACTCAACTGTTGTCAAACAATAAGTCGTGTTTATGGTTTGGTATTGGCTTTACCCACACTATGACCCACATATATGAAGTGATTGCAGAGAGATGAAGATGTGTTGCAGAACTTAAACTTAAACCATCTTCATCCTCAAGTCATAATCCAGACCTCGTGGGTGCGCTGGGAATGGATGTCCAGATGGTTCTTGTTTTCGGTTTGGGTCCATTTTTGCTTTTTTTAACCCAAGGAAAAACCCTGAAAAACCCACGATTTCCAACAATCTACTGCGTTTACTGCTTTCTCTTCAAAGCTGACTGCCATGGTTCAATCCTCAGATTTTGGCAATGGATTGAAACCAACATCTGGATGTGGTATCCCCCAAAAACTTTTGTTGTGTTTTTTTTCCCATGCCGCATCAGTGACATGCGGCATGTTAGCTGGTTTGCATCCCGTCTCTTGTGGTCTAATATACTCCTGGAGCAGATAGATAGATGTCATATGTCCTCGCTTTTTACCTTTTCATGATTTGCTGGTCCAAGAAGCCACCGTTTGGTTCTACTCCGGGATGGGTATACTTCCCCCCTATGACTGGCAGGAAGAATCGCGGGAAGACGGGTGCAAAAGCAAGCAAGGAAGTCAAGGTTGACAAGAGCACCTCAACACTTCCACTTGCGTTCGATTGGCGCCCCTTGACCTCAAGTTGCAGCTTCTTTTATTGTCAGTGATGGATAGAAAGTGACCAAGTTGGCTACATGGCTACACCCACAAGGACCGCAAACGTCGGACAACTATATCATACTATATATCTATATCTATCTATCTATATATATAATGTACATGATATAATTATATACATATATTTTCATTCCACTCTGTCTGTGACCGTCTTGCAGTCGCCTGCTTGCATCATGGGACACAAAAGCTCCTGGTGAGCGACCCATGTCTCTTGCTCTAAATTAACAGAGGCTGTTCGTTTCATCCCTTTTAAGAGACTACTAAGTCCTCTGTGATCTTTCCAAAATTGTAATCTGAGCACATTTTTGTGCCCCTCGCTTCCAGCCAATAGGGGTCATAGGAATTCGCCAGTGCTTCCAAAGCTCGCTCCAAACCTTCTGGTTCCTGGGTTGTCCCCTCCCCTACTTGCAAATCAGCGAAGGCAATGTGCTGCTGCGCTAGTATGCGGCACAATGGTGGATATGCCTTTGCACGGGCTGTTTTCCACTGAGCGCCTTCACGGCCTCCTAGCTTTGTTGTGGGCCGCCATTGCTTGTCGTATCCTTCGTAGATAGCCGCCCCAAGCCCCTCCAACCGCGCTGCCAGAAGGTTGGTTGGCTTTACAAATGGCTGTCCCAAAGGGCCCTGAAGTATTGTCCAGAGCTTGATGTCCGCTGACAACAAGAGCTGTTTGATGAAGGATGAGTCCCAGATGGTCCACTTGTTGTCCTTGCCACCATAGCCCCTCGGATGTTCCAGGGTAAAAGTGCCTCCGTAGGCAAAAATGGTGAGAAGAAGAAATAAAGCACGCCACATCAAAATGTTTCCCATCATCCACTGGCGTGTCTCTCTCAGCGTTCTTCCATCCAATCCCCAGGGTTGTTCACAACTCCGCAAGGGTCTCGGATAAATACTGTCTTCAACTTCCAACCACCTTGCCAGGGAATATGTCTCGCATGGGGGGCCAGCATGCCCCCGCAGCGACACGTCTGGCATGAATAAGTGAGCGCCACAACCCAACATCCAGGATGTTACCAATCTCTGGGTGGATAGCGACATCTACACATATCGGAATCAAATTCGATTGCCACCAAATGTACGAAGCCAGATCCTCGAAACGGCGATGTCCTGAAAAAAGAATCAGAAAAAAACGCCTTCCATCTGCCGGCCCTCTGGGGATCCAATCCGGATTCGGATTCCACCTGGTGACCCTGTCCAGCAGTCGGTGCTCCAACTTAGTTGCTTCATGCCCCACATTGTGCACCATCCACTCTGCTGCATTTCTGGATGTAATCTGCCTGCCTCCTTGCCCTGGAGGTAACATGCCCAAAACAGCCCATTCCACCAGTTCTTGCTCCGTTGGTGCACCCTCTTTCACCGGAGGGCATTCCTTCAAAAGCAAAACATGTTCTCTCTCCTGATCAGTGCACCACCTCCAACCCCGATCTAAGGAGTGCTCAACAAGCCCTTTTTGGTGAGTGGCAACCCCCGCCTTTCTGTCGCGCTCGTCAAGCTCTGCTGCTGCTTCCTCGGACATGGGAAAATAGTTTCTCAAATGAAAAATCCAACATCCTGACTTGGCCATCTGCAAATGCTTGATCATGCGAGGCCGCGTGTGGTAAAAACGACCACATGCTCTGCATGCCGCATCACACGCGACCCTCCTCAATGCAACCCGTTTGTTGTGCTTGCGTTGCTCATGGGTTGGCAATGAAGAGGCCTTGTCAAACTTTGCCTCACACTCAGTGCATTCATACAAACGTCCTTCTGTGTCGGATTCCTCTGTATTTTCGATCTCATCATCCAAGGTCCATCCCATTTCTCTGCAGATTTGATCCTGCACTTCTGCATGAGTCTTCAACTCACAAAAGGATTTGACCTTGCAAAGGTGAGATTGCTCTGCCTTCTTGATCAAAATCTTGAGTTCGTGGGCTCCTGCTTGAAACCATTTCCAAACCTGCGGGTCCATCAGCTGAAAAAGCTCTTCAGGTACATGTTCTGACCCTACTTCATTTTCCAACCACAAGCTGTGAAAGACCCCGTGAAGCCACGAGTTCTCCTTTTCGATCTCAAATTTTTCCACAATCGCTGCAACCATGTAAGCATCTCCTGTCCTGAGGAGATGCACCAATAAGCGCAGTCTGCACAGATACATCAACTCCATGGGCATAGGTGATTGCATCGCATCAGCAAGCTGATACATAGTACAGTGCTGCACCTCACCATCTGTCTTCCTTTGAAGAAGTGATTGATAAATTTTGTGAATACCTGCTTGCCAAACTTGATATTCACCTTGAGTGAGAGCGAAAAGCGTGCCTGCATTCAGTGTAAAAACTGACAAACCCAAACTTTTGATCAGCCGACTTCTCTGCTCCTTCTGTAAGCCTTGATGGACTAACAGTCGCCGCAGCGGCTTGAGTTTGGAAAGGGCGCCTGCTGTTCTCACCCTCAGTTCCGGGAGTCTCGAGCCTGATCTTGTGACAAAGCCTCCAAGGTGCCGGTAGTGGCCCACCAGCGGGATGATCACTTTGCCCTTGTGCTCACTCACCAGCGCCAGTCCTTGTCCGTACTTCTGCTCTGCTGCCTGCCTTGCAGCCGTTGCTCCCTTTCCATGAAAGGAGATCATCACCGCTGTTTTGCCAACCCCATAGGAAAGAGACAAACCATGCTCCAACATTGCATCTTGTACAATGGCCAGCAAATCAATGGTTTTGATCATCAAGCGATCAGCATCCTCAGTAATAGAGAAAGCAATGTCGTCAACCCACGTGACCATATTCGAAACATGCCCTGCAGCTGTTTCTCGTGAGAGTTGGATTCCAACCTGCTGTGCTCTCTCTTCGATGACGCCTATCACTTTTGCCAAAACCAGTGAAAATAACACATCTGCGCTGGGATCTCCCGGCCTGGAGCCGGTCATGGGAGCTTGCAAGGTCTTTGACTCTGGTATCACAAACCAGGTTTGGCCTAACATTGCCGCAACATTGTTGGCCATGAGGGAGGAGCCCGTGGCCTCCTTGATCAGGTTGATATCCATGGTCTGCTGCAAAAACTCCTCTTTCATACTGGTTGGTAAATTCATCTTTGCAAACACTTTGTCAAGACTCTGCATGCCGGAAGCTGTGCCAGCCACCAGTTGTTTCACCACAGAGTAGAAAGCTGCCCTTATGTCAAGGAAAATTACTGCGTGAGACTTCCGCTGTTTCTTCGCATTCCTTTTCCAAAAATGAACATGCAGGTGCAATGCCTCAATCGAGAGTCCTTGTCTGCCCCCCCACTGCATTGGTCGTGCCACCCGTGCCAGTCCTTCGGTGATCAATGGTCTCCATGCCTTTGAAAAAGCACTTGACACAACAGATTCCAAAAGAATGGCCCGGTATCCGAATCCTGCCATATTCTGCGGGCTGCCTTTTCCTTTGAATAAAGGCAGCAACCATCCACCAGCAAACTCCATGATGCCTTGCCCTCGGACTGCTGCCTTCAATAAAAGAGGAAAAAGCTTTTTGGCAGCCACAACCGGATCTGCCTGAAACACTTCTGCGCCCAAACCGTCCAGCCCTGTGGCTTTGGCTGCCTGCAATGCTCTGATTGTGATTCCAAGAGGGAATTGAGAGGAGATCGATTGCTTGCCAACAACCATCATGCCTTGAGACTGAACGGTGCAGCAGCTCAATCGCTGTAACTTCCTCAGCATTTTCAATGGTCCCAAATTGCGTTTGCCATTCCAGGGCGACTTCATCCCTGTTGTTTTTCCATTGTCCATCTCCTCCACATAGGCCAGGAAGCTGTCGAATCAGCTTGCCTGTGCTTCTGGCAATCATTTGCTTGGGGCGAAGAATCTTAAACAACTCTGCTGATCGTACTCCTTTTGCACTTTCAACTTTGTCAGCAATTTGTTTTTGTATCCACTGCTTCCAGTCTCTCCTCTTGATGCATTTGAAGTCATAGTCAGCTCTGATGCGTGCTTCAAAGGTGACAGCTTCTTGGCATCAAAGAAAATGAAATGGCATGTGGAAATTTTCTTCTTCTTCATTTTCTTGTGTTTTTCTTTTCCAAACTTGCCAGATGGCCCTGAGCATCAAAATTCTTTTCTCACATTGCAAGGCTCTGTATTGTTTGCGAATCTCCTTGCTATAGCAAAGCACATTCCAAGCCTCTTTTGAGAAATACAATTGACGTTGCTGGCGCTTCTGGCATGGAAAGGTAGCGTTGACCTTTTGCTGCAGATGATGACGCACACAATTCCAGTGGTCGTTGACATCAACTGACCAATCCACTGAAGGACAATTCTCCAAAAAAAATTGCAAGATAGCCCTTTGCTGCGTCTTCATTGCTTCTGCTCTGTGGTATAATGGGCTCCTGTTGAACCGTTTGACCACATCTTTTTCACCAACCTTGATGTTGCACTCTAAACAAAGGGGGAAATGATCTCTGTCACCATTCATGAGATCAAAATCCTGATGAACAAAGGAACGCAATACACTTGCAGCAAGTTCTTGTGGCATCAATATGTAATCAATCCTTGATCTACCGCCAGTTGCACTTGTGAAAGTGTGTGTCTGCCCTTCATGCCAACAATCAAAGGTTGAGGGAATCATGAGCTTTTGTTCCGTGCAAATCTCACGAAGATGTTCGCCTCCATCGTCTTCAAAATCCGCAGCAAGGTGTCCGATTTCATCACCAGAACATGACCCAACACTACAATTGCCATCTCCAAGCATGAAAAGATGAGCTCGTTTGTCTCTCTTAGCCAGGACAGATTTGAAGTGTCGCCACCAAAGTTCCTGTTCTTGCACGGTGCGTCCTCTATGAGGCGCATAGAAAACGACAATCTCTAATGCTGAGGTCCCCAATTGACATCTTGCTGCGAGAATACGCTCAGACGAATACCAAACACATACATCTTTTTCCGGCTGAAAAACACAATGGAAAATCTTGGCCAATTCTTCACCATTCATCCACAATTCAAC